CTATAGCCCACCAAAATCGTTCAAAATGACCTATTTTTGATCAAAATGCATGGGCTATAGCCCACCAAAATCGTTCAAAATGACCTATTTTTGATCAAAATGCCTGGGCTATAGCCCACCAAAATCGTTCAATATGAACCATTTTTGATCAAAATGCATGGAGTATAGCCCTTGCATATTGGTCAGAAAATGGTCATTTAGAGCGATTTTGATAAGCTATAGACCATTCATTTTGGTCAGAACAGAGTCATTTTGATCGATTTTGGTGGACTATAGTCCATGCATATTGTTCAAAAATGGGTCATTTTGAGCGATTTTGCTGTGCTCTAGTTCATGCGTTTTCATCACAAAGGGTCATTTTGAACGATTTTGGTGGGCTGTATCCCATGCATTTTGATCAAAAATGGGTAATTTCGAGGGATTTTGATGGGCTATAGCCCATGTATTTTTTTCAAAAATGGGTCATTTTGAGGGATTTCGGTGGGCTATAGCTAAAACATTGTGATAAAAAATGGGTCTTTTTGAGTGATTTTGTTTGGCTATAGCCCATGCATTTTGATCAAAAATGGGTTATTTTGAAAAGATTTCCTTTATAAATTTCAAAAACGCCCACTCAATTCATCCTTTGAGCAGGTGGACTTTCAATCATTCGCAACACAATAATAGCTCTATTAAGTAAAGACATCAATTTATGGCAAGAATTTAACTATGACTCATGTTTTTGATACCAAAATAAAACGTTTTTACTGTTATAAGTATATTGATACAAACATTATTACAAAAAAATACAACAATAAGAAATTACAATTCTCATCAACTGTAGCTTTCAACAACAAGCTACAAAAATTAAAAAAAACGTACAACAACAATAAATTACAATTCTCATCAACTGTACTTTTCAACAACAAGATCCAAAGATTAAAAAATACGTGGACAATCAACAAATAAATTATTAACTATCAATATCACACCAAAATTGCTTTTTTGATCAAAGTGCATGGATTATAGCCCACCAAAATCGTTCAAAATGACCTGTTTTTGATCAAAATGCATGGGCTATAGCCCACCGAAATCGCTCAAATTGACCCTTTTTCATCAAAATGCATGGGCTATAGCTCACCAAAATCGTTCAAAATGACCCATTTTTGATCAAAATGCATGGGMTATAGCTCACCAAAATCGTTCAAAATGACCCATTTTTGATCAAAATGCATGGGGTACAACCTACCTAAAACACTCAAAATGACCAATTTTTAATAAAAAATGCATGGCCTATAGCCCACCAAAATCGTTTAAAATGACCCATTTTTGATCAAAATGCATGGGCTATAGCCCACCAAAATCGTTCAAAATGACCCATTTTTGATCAAAATGCATGGATTATAGCCCACCAAAATCGTTCAAACTGACCCATTTTTAATGCTTGCATTTTGACCTTGCATATTGGTCAAAAATAGGTCATTTTGAGCAAATTTGCTGGGCTATAACTAGTTCATTTTGGTCAAAAATGGGTCATATTGGTCAACGAATGGTCATTTGGAGCGATCTTTATGTGTTATAGTCCGTTTCATTCAAAAATGGCTCATTTTGAACGATTTTGGTGGGCTATAGCCCGTGGATATTGTTCAAAAAAAGGGTTATTTTGAGCAATTCTGGTTGGCTGTAGCACATGCATTTTGATCGAAAATGGGTCATTTTGAACGATTTCGGTGGGCAATAGTCCATGTGTTTTGATCAAAAATGGGTCATTTTGAACGATTTTGGTTGGCTGTATCCCATGCATTTTGATCGAAAATTGGTGATTTTGAACGATTTTTGTGGGCTATCAAATGGGGTATAACCCACCAAAATCGCTCAAAATGACCCTTTTTTGATCAAAACTTATGTGCTATAGCCAACCAAAATAATTCAAAATAATGACCGTATGACTGTATGATAGTGTCAGTTTGTTTTGATATTTACAACTTTCTATTTCAAATTTCAAAAACGCCCACTCAATTCATCCTTTGAGGAGGTGGACTTT